ATGCTTGCGTCTCTTGAAAGTGTCGTGAATCAATCAAGAGAAGAGGGGAGGACGATTGAAAAGGCTAAAGCTACAACAGCGGAGCTCGAAGAAGAAGGGATTAGTGAAAGTGTAGTAGTTCTTATGGTAAGAATATTTTATGACGGGTATAGTATGATTGGTTGTTCTATAGTGTGTATTGAACTGACAATAAATGAGGTATCTTGCAGGAGTTGGTGAGGCCATTTCAAGATGCATTGCCAGGGTTCAAAGAAGTTCTTTATTGGGAAAGGCCTTCTCGTACGCTTTTTGTTCTAGCCGTTACCATTTTAACAGTCTACAAGTGAGTTTAAAGTAACATAACATCCAGAATAGTAAATTCATGGTATATAAATCAAGAAACTAAATTTTTCTGTTACAGGGAGTGGATTGGTAAGGCTATAGCTGCTTGCTTAATATGGGTGGTGGTTAAAATGGTTCAGGCTAGACATAAGATAATCCACTCAAAAAGTGAGGATGCGGTAACAGTGAGCACTGAATCCGACCAAACAGTGACTGAGAGCATTGTCTCGGCTCAGTATGGCTTAATAAGACTTCACCAGTTGATGCAGCATGTCAACGTCACCATCATGAAGTTGCGGTCAATTTATACCTCCAAGGCTAGCAAGGTAACTACTGTTTTTCCATAAATTTTTTGTTATTTCGTAAGTGTGTTCTCTCTTACTTTTGGATCGTAGCATGCAAGCATGGTAATGGCGTCGATGATGGTGTTGGCAAGCTTCTTCGCGGTGGTACCATTCAAGTTGGTCATCATATTTGGTACAATATATTGCTTTGTCATGACATCGAGTGTCGGAAAATACATGAGCAACGATCAGAGTAACCGGAGAATGAAAGAGTGGTGGGATTCAATACCCATTGTTCCCGTTCGTGTACTCAACTCTTCTTCTAAGTAGTTCACTCAATGTGAGATACATATAAGGCGACTGTTTGTTTTTTGCTATCAGTAGCTAATAGAGAAATAAATGTTTTAAGAGAACAAAGTTGTGTTCTGTA